TCTCCCCAAGCTGTATCTCATCTACTTTCTTCCTCTCTACCACAGTGCCACTGTAGGGACCAGCTGGCATGTCTAGTGTGAGGGCCTTGTGACCAGACCATATTAGCACAAAGTAGGGAGTCATCAGACCCCCATCACTGCTGTGGCTAAGTCCTGATATCCCTCCTATGAATGCAGAGTACCTTGGCCAACCAATGGCCTTTTTACTGTGACAGTGAGGCTGGCCCAGTAGATGTGATCAGAGTCTCTCCTGAGTGGTCCTGAGGGTCTACAGCTACCCACAGTGAATTGCAGCACCCTACCTCTGTGGGTCTTTAGTAGTGAGCTGTGTGGTGTGGTAACCTTTGTGACTGTCTAATGTGGTTCTTTCTGTTACCAGGGAGTCCGAGTTTACCTTTGGGTTCTTAGTCTCCTTAATAAAAGAACTTTAGCCGGGCATGGTGGCACATGCCTGTAGTCCCAGCACTTGGGAGGCGGAGGCAGGTGGATCTCTTTGAGTTCAAGGCCAGCCTGGTCTACATAGTGAGTTCCAGGACAGCTGGGGCTACAGGGAGACCCTGCTTCAAAAAGACAAAAAGAATAAAATAAAATAAAATAATAATAATTTTAAAATGGACTCAGAGGGATGCTCAAGGAAAATGTTATTAAAGTTTAAGAGAAAAACCACAAGGTAGGTAAGCTGAAAAATCTTAGTAGCTGCTGAGGGGAAGGGAGACAGGTATAGGGGTCGCTCTGGGCCCCAGGCATAGGGTGCGCGGGTATCTCGAGGTCCCCGCCACACCTGGCGAGTCGTGGCGCGGGTCTGGCTCTGGCCGTGCCTCTCTGGGGGCAGCGGCGGGTGTCCCGCGGGCTTTTGAGCCGCTTCAGGTCTCGTGTCTCTGTCCGCCGCTCCGGTGCTAAAAGTTCCTCTGCTGCTGGAGTGTTGTCCAGCCGAATCCCGTCTCTATTCCACCCGTGTACTTTCCTCAGGATGCGAGGTCCACTGGCCACTGAACCACGCGGGAAGAGTACGAGGACAACGAAAACTAAAAATGTCCACAAGTCGGTAATGGAAGAGTGTGCCCCCCAAAAAGGCTAGGTCGCCGGTAGTAAGACACAAGACTCAAGACTCAGCTTAGTCTGTGTTACAGCTTTATTAAGTGTCTCTGCTCTCAGTGATTCAACAGCTCTGTGACCCAGCTCTCTGATATTGAGAGAAAGACTGAGATATTTATACCATGGGGGTAGTGGTAAAAGCTTTGGCTGTTAGATACTTTGTGAGACATTCTATTTACATATGGAAATGGGTTTCTGCCATGCCGCCAGACTGCTAACTACCTAAAAAATTACACAAAAAAACATGGTATCTTTCAGAGCCAGAGGCCATGTTTATGTGAGCATTTGTGGTGGGCACTTCAAAAAAAGAGTCAAAAAAGATGCCAAGAAGGCACCCTGCTTGAAAAGAGCCCCAACACATAACCCCGAGCTACATGAGCTGTCCGGACGTGAAGGGGCTTCTACTTTACATAACAGAGGTCCCCAACAGACAGGTCATGCCTTTAAGTTTGGATGGAGGTCAGAGAAACAGTGACAAGGCCCAGTGTCAGGGAAAGCATGCTTAGAAGTATTGAGCCAAGGACCCAAGTTCAGAGGGCACCCAGTTCCAGGCTCTCATGTTCCAGGGCAAAGCACTATACGAGGAATAGGACTAGAAACAGAAATATAACAGTTTATTAAGTAAGGAAAAATACTCCCAAGAATAGGATTTGGCTAGAGAGCTGAAGAAAGAACCCAAAAAAACACTTGGTCATGGAGTGTGCAGCCTGTATAGTCCCCACTTCTTCTTGCATCTAGTAGACATTTTTTCCATATGTTCTGTAAGATGAAATCCAGGTAGGGAAGGGCTTCTGGTCTTCCTCTGAAAACGTCCTTCTTTCATGTGTTAATCTTGATGTTCTTTCTAGTCTCTGTTCTGCCATGGTTAGGACATGGTTTGCCCTCCAAGGGTTTATGAGTCAGAAGCTTGGTCTCAGGGTGGGAGGGGTAGGAATGATGATGGAACCTTTAGGAGGTGGAGATGAGGTAGGGGTGATACTTAGGTTACCAAGGAAGTTGTCCTTAGGAGGAATAGGTAGGTCTCACAGGACCCCTGAACTCTTGCAAGAGGAGCCAATCCCCTTCATCACTCTCTGGTCTTGGTTTCAAGATATGCTCTCTCTTTCACCGTGCAGTCCCACCAAGTGGTACCTTCTCATCTGCCATGAGGCCCTCACTATGGGCCAAACCAATGCAGCTACCCAATCTTGGATTCAGCCTCCAAAACTAGAGCGAAATAAATCTCTTTTTCTTAAGTAGCCTGCCTCAGGTAATTTGTTGTAGTAAGAAATAGATTAGTGATTAGTATATTTATTATTTTGGCCATGGAAGGCAGTTCAACCTGGACCCACACCAATATTTGTTAATATACAAGCCTGGAAACCAGTGGATAGCTGTCCCAGTCACCACGTATGCAAATTACAATCACATACTCTATAGACAGAGGAATGACCACCAAGGAGTCTGCTGGCCCAGGGAACCTGCTATGACCACCCTTTCATCCAGGATTCCTTATATCACCTAACACCACAAATTATTCTCCAGCAGTGAGCTCTGATGACACCCTGCATCTCTAAGAATCAGTGTCTGCTCAGATCTAGTGTCCAACTGTCCTCAAGCTATTTTAACATTCCCTTTCCCTCAAGCCAAGCACCAAGTGAACAACAGTCAATAACTTGCTTATTCATTCTGTTCGAGCCACAGGGCTCTCCCCCTGTACCTACAGGCATGTGCCAGCTAGCTTTTCTAGCTTCTCCAACACAGAACCTTTTTCCAACATCATCAGTCTCCACAGGTCCCTGGACAGATCACACTGGGCTTTCTCCCCAGTCATCAGACAGACTCCAGTGGGGCCCCTGTCACGCTGTGGGGAGATGCAGTAGCATTGTCAATCATAGGGGAAATGCTGGTTTAACAGGAAAGGGTCAGCCCCTCTGCAGGCTGTGAGGGCCAGGGGTACACAGTCACTTCTTCCAGCTTCCATCGATACCTAGCCTGTGTGTCACTCAAATGTGCCTGAAGCCAGGCGGTCCTTATTGTCAGCCCAGGAGGGGAGATTTCCTTTCTGCTACTTAAAAGGCCCTAAGAGGCCCTCTGGTCTAGCACTCCCTGCTGGCTATTGTCCCTCTGCAGGGCATCAATGTGCCTCAGCACCAACCAGCCAATCTGTTGTCCCCTACCCCTTCAAACCCCCAAGTCTCCACACATCAAAATGGTCCACCCTGGGGTAAAAGCTTGACCAGTTGGGCCTCCACCTTGTGCTAAAGACCTCTTGTCCCCAACCAGGACAGTGTATCCACTTGTACCATTGAATGGCCACCTTGCTGCCCTGCTGAGGGTTAATCTGGGTCCTCTGAGAAGCAGGAACTAGATGTTACTAGAGACTTGATTGGCAATGCTTAGGAAAGACACAGGGGTGGTGGTCACAGGCACTGGGAACTCAAATTACAGGCAAGAAGGACCCCTGTGACAGACTGCCAGGGAAACTTCAGCCTACAGCACTCAGAATATCCCGGAGGACTAATCCCTAGAGTGATCCAAATCTTGGGGTGGGCTAGCATCCTTCCCTAGGGAGCACCCAGGGCAGGAAGTATGCAAGGGTTGGGGTGTCCAGGAAGAACTGCAGTCTAGTACAGTCAGGTGAGGTCTCTAGGAAGAGCTGTGGTCCAGTTCAGTCAAAAGCACAAGTCAGAGCTTCTTGCTCATGGTCACCATGTGGCTGCCACACTCAGGCACACCCTGACCCAGACAGACACTCTCAGGTCACGCACCATGTTCATCCACACTCAGATTCACAAATACACATGATGCACGCACACACAAACACATTCATACCCACATGCAGATACCACATACAAGATTCTCACTTGCATACTCACATCCTTGGTTCTAGTCACCTACTACCCACTCAAAAGGCCTGTAGGGCTGGGGACAGCAATAGTTGGTGTTGCCATAATGCTGGGCTGCTAACGTTCTAGTCAGAACTCCATGTTCTGAGAACTCCATGAGAAGTGATGCTGGCTGGTATCCCTGGCTGGGACTCATGGAGGCCTTTCTCTCCTCCACCACCACCACACTGCAGGGCACAAGGACACAAGACCCTGTGTGAGGTGCCTTCAGCCACCTTCTCAGATGTGGGACACCAAAGAAAAGAGGTGACAGATTTCAGCAGAGGGAGGAAGCCCTGAAGATAAGGGAAGTCTCCTCCTGGGTTGAGGGGCTAGGGTACAGATTTGCTGTTTGGGGGAAGGAGGCCTCACCACTCCCCTACCCTGCCCCTTTGAGAACTGCCCTGAATTAAGCACCATCTATCCCCTGGGCCTGTCTACACCCCTCTGATCCAGTCCTGGCTGGAGCTAGAGGAATCCTAGCCATAGCCTGACAATGGCCTCTGGCAGGATGTTACCAGGCCCCGCTACATTCCACTTTGGGATTCTTGGAAGAAGGGATGCTCACCAATGTCAGAGCCCTCCCATCCCCATGTCAGGTCCTCTTGCTTCTGCAGGGCCTCTTTCACCGTCCCCTGCCCCGACCCTGTTCCACCCCGGTTCCCTGACAGCAACTTGGTGTCCACGGGAACGCCAGGGACATGCGTCCTGTCCCAGAGATGGCTGTGAGGCCTGCATGCTGCCCTTGGGAGCCCCCACCCTGCCCAACCAAAGCCAGAACTGTAGGAGAGCGGAACCCCCCATCACTGAGGGCAGCTCCCGGGCAGCCCGGAGTCCTTTCCTTCAAGTCGGTGAGTGAGGCGCTCGTGCAAGGCCCAGCGACTGGCGGGGAGATGTCCCGGGTACCACCGCGCAGAAGGGGTCCGAGCAGCACCACCCGGTTTCCGCCCCCTCCCCCTCCCTTCCTCGCCTCCCCCAGTTCCTGCCCTCTCACCCGCCGACCCCGCCCATCCGCGGGGCCGCAGCGCCTCCCGGCGGCCGGGCACCCGACGGGCGGGGATAAAGTGGGCGGCCTCTCGCACAGTCGCCTCCCGCCCAGTCCCGCGGCCGCTCCCGCGCCCTTCGCTCCTGCCCACTCTGCGCCCGCATCTCGGGGCTGGCAGGACCTTGAGTCGCCACCGAGGTGCCCAGCCAGGTAAGCGCCGTGGGGCGGTGTCCAGCGTCGACGTTGAGTTGTGCGCAGGGCGCAGGGTCTGGGCCTCGGGGGTCTGAGCCTGGAGACCAGCCTCTTGGTGGTCCAGTCCTGCCCGGGCCCAGGGTTCAGCCCTGGGATCTAGTCTTCAGCTGCCCGCAGGCTGCACCCAGTGACTCGTGGATGCTTCCCTGCTGCCCTGTTGCATCCTCAGCCTCTGTCGGGCGGAGTCTGTCTTCCTCTTGGTCTGAGCTCCACAGCTTTCCGCTGACCACTGGGAAGGCCCAGACTGTCCCCCATGGACTCTTTCTCCCGAGTCCATAGAGTGCCTGGCATCCAGGTTTGTGCTATCTCTGGCTTGGAGGATACCTCCCAACGGTTGGGGAGCCTAAATTGCCTCAGTAGGAAGACAACCCCTCTGACTGGGACCAGGCACAGGGTATTGGTGTTGCTGACCTCTGTACAGGCCCCAGGAAAGGGTATTCCTCACGGGGGAAGCAGCAGCAGCTTTAACTAGCTCCCTTGAAGAGCCTCAAAAGCACTCTGCAGGCAGCAGGGAAGAAGGGGGCTCAGATCCCAAGGGTGGACAGGTCAGGCCACAGTCCTCTGCACCTTAGGAGATGCGTCCCCATCTCTCTGTCCCTCCATTGTGCTCAGGGATGAACCCAGCAGGGGTTTGAAAGGGTCCCAGAACAAGGGAAGACCTAGGTTAACAGTGTCTGTCACCCACTGGTCCCACCCCACACTTGGGACTCCCTGGGGCCCACCCAGAGCACAGAGGACAACCTCAGAGAGACCTCTCCTTATCTACAGGTAACACAGAACAGACCCTCATGGAACCTTGGGTGTTTGGGGACTAGCCTGGTGCTTCCACCCGGGACATGAAGGCTATGCCATAGAGGGACTGGGCACCCAAAAAGGACACGAGGTGTCCAGATTTTCCCTCCGTTTTTCTTCTAATTAAATAGTTCAGGTTTGGAGTTCAGGCTTGGAGGTCAGCACACACACTGGACCAAAAAGAAAAAGAAAACAAGGCTTGATACCTGGGGTCCCCTAGAGGGAAGGGGTCTCTGCTTTCCCTCAGTGAGAGTCAGGGTGGGGACTGGGCTTGGGCCCTAGGGCCCCCAGATACAGGTGATACCAAATCCCTGCCACCAGACTGGAGAGGCTGAGTATGGGTGTATAGAGTGTCCCTTCTGAGGGGTCTGTCTGGGTCCTGGGGACAGTGAGCTGGTTCTATCTGATGAAATGGTGTCAGGAAGCCAGGGCAAACCATGGGAGAAGCAGAGGCTCCTGCCACCTGGGCAGCTTGCCTCCTGTCCAGCAGTGTCACTGCTGGGGACAGTATGTGGTTACGAAACCCAGGCAGCTCTGTTTTGGAGCAGCCTCTTCTCAGGTCTCTCAGGGGATATAGCAAGTGTAGTAGGGCCCTTCAATGCCACTCCCAGAATCCAGGATGGAGAAGGGGCTGGGAAGTGTCACAGGTCCCAGCATGGGTCACCAGCCACACCTGCCTTTCTGGAAGTAGCTCTGCTTTCTTATCTCAGATTAAGGCCAGGCTTAGAAGCACCCACCAGTCTCAACCATCGGGACTGCTGGAGGTCCCTGGATGCAGTGTAGACAGACTGTTCACAGCCCAAAGCACTGCCTTAAGATGTTGGGGATGTGATGATTTCTAGAACACAGACGGTTTTTTTTTTCTTTCACAAGGCCCCACACTTTCATGAGCTGGCCCTACTGTGCCTCTTTTGTACATTCTTGCAAAGCCTAGGGACCCTGACCTAGGGCATTCTCACAAATAGGCAGGGGTTGTGGGGTACTGTACATGAGCAGATCTTGGAGTCCAGTCCCTGCCCTCAGGACCAGGATGGGCCATGCTATGGACAGCATCTCTACCGGTACACACAGACCCACTAGAGATCCAAGACATAGATGCCAGCTAGACCAGAGCAGCCTCCTGGTAGCCCATTGGTTGATGCTGAAATGAGCAGGGAACAGGGAGGCCAGCTCTGAGGGGCCCCATCTCTCCCTGTTGTCAGAGGCCCACTGGAGAAGTGGGGAAATATTGGTGTCCTCCAGTCTCTGCTGACCCTTCTTGTAGGTAAGGAATGTCTTGCTGTGGGCTCATTCCACCTGCCCTTAGTTATGTGGCCTATCTGATCACTGATCATTTGTCAGCTGTTGTATGGTTTGTTGGTTGTGACTTCCTATTCCTAGCAGGTGTTACTGATTTGGGATACTGAGCCATATTGTGAGACCCTGGAAAATAGTGGTAGGGGATGGGAGAGAGCTTGCTTTCTATATATAGTTTTGAATACATACCCAGAAGTGGAAAAGCAGTATTATTTGACAGTTCTATTTATGATTTTTTAGGACCCTCCATAGTGGTTTCATACTAGTCTTACCAGCTTCCATTCTCATCAACAGTGCACAGGGTCTAATCACTCCCCATCCCCACCAACACTTGTTTTCTGATTGATTGATTGATGTGTGTGTGTGTGTGTGTGTGTGTGTGTGTGTGTGTG